CCTCGGTCCTTGGGCATCGTGGCTGGCCTCAATTGAACCGTACTGGATATCTTCCATGGGCTCCGACCTATATGTTGGGGCTGGGCCCTGGGCTGGGCTGTTTCTCTCACTGGCCATCTCACTGGCCATCTCACTGGCCATCTCACTGCCCCCTTCACTGCCCCCCCCAACGGCCAGCTCACTCGCCACCTCACTCTCAAGCTCTTCTTCGTTAGCTAGCCACTCCGGATCACAGCCATCACAACGTTGTTCCATAGCTTCAGAATCCCCGCAATACTGCCTTTGATGCCCATCGAGATACTCATCGAGAATAACCCGTCGACACCCTCCGTTATATATATAACGATCTAGCCGGCTCTGCTCGGCCTGAGCCTTGATGGGGTCCTCATGGATTTGGTCCCATATTGGCCGCTGGAACCCCTCGGGCTGAATGATAATGGCCTCACTGCGGTTCCCATCCCGGCCCGCTCGCCCACTCTCTTGCGCGTAGTCTAGCAGACTGCGCGGCACCCCGATGTGAATGATACACCGGATGTTGGGGATATCAACCCCCATACCTAGCGCACTAGTTGCGGCCACCACGCCGGTGGGATCAGCCTGAAATCGGGCTAGCACGCCCGGACGATCGAATACTCGGCTATGGTATGCTTCACTGCCTACGATCTGGGCAATGTGCTCGACGATCTTAGTAGTGGGCCCATAAATGACCACTCGGCCAGCCGCGCAGCGGGCACGCCGAACACGGTCCTGAATGAATCTCACGATCTCGGGACGCTCGATCCAATCGTAGCCGTTTCGGTACCGACTCGGCACGTTGGGTTGCCAGAGCCGGTACGCAACATTAGTCCGATGGGTCCGCGCTCGAAACATATGGGCCTTCTCGCGGGTAGTCCGTAAACGCCGGAATAGCTGGTCCTCGGCTGCCGGGGGTAACGTAGCCGTGAGATATATCATCTGGGCCTGGGCCACGATCAACCTGCCCAGTTGGGCCATGGCAGGCCGGAATTGGCTTTGGTCATTTAGCACAACGTGGCATTCATCAATCACAATTCGATCTAGCCGATGGCCGAGCCGCTGCCTGTTCAAAAACGTCATAAAGTCCTCCGTAATAGCTGATTCGGGCGTAACCAGTACGATGGATGCCTGATCGGCTGGCCGCCGGCTCTCCCATTCCACACATGCGATGCCGAGCTGCCGGCAACGGTGGACGAGATCCCCCCGTAGTGCAATTAACGGCACTACGACCACCGTTACCCCTCGGGGGCTGATCCACGCGGGTAGCATGAATAGCAGGCTCTTGCCGCCCCCGGTGGGCATCACAGCCACCACTGGGCTCTGGCCCTGTTGAATGGCAGCTAATGCCGGCGCCTGCACCCCTCGAAGCCGTAGCCCGGTGTTGCCCATCATCCGTTGCATTTCGGGCTCGATGGCGGCCTGGGCTAGCTGCCACCGGCGCTCCGTACGGCTCATCTCAGCTTCCTTTTGCCATGGCGAAGGCTGCGCGAGCCCTAATGCGCTCTCGGCCCCTCCGTCATCAGCGGACACAAAGCCTAGAAAGCGGTGCCAATCGGTGCTGCTGAGCCGAAACATCTCTCGCCGGTGGGCCGTTGTACCGGGCTGCTCGGTGATCCCGCGGCCATAGATCATCCCGGCCACATGGGATGAATGGGCTGCTTGGAGATCGGCAATATGGCCCATCCATTGCTCGGCATTGATCCCATCTTCGTCATCTTCTTGGGATGCCTCGGCCCGGCTGTCCTGTTGGGCATTATTGGGGAATATGCTCGATGGCCGCATGAATCGTCGGCTGATCCCAATAGCGATGTCTCGGTATGCATGGAGATTGATGGCGTGCCCGTTCAAACCAATGGTGGTTTCTCGCTTTAGAACTTCTCTGAGTCTCTCTGAAGACCACTGTCGGCCGGTGCCAGGGTCAGGGGACCATAGATATGCCTGTCGACGGGGGCTGGTAGTGAACGTGTTAGTGTATATATATGTGTGTGTTGGGTGGGTGCGTGTGAGAGAGAGCGGGGGCAATATATATGTTTGATCTCTGTGTTGAACTGTGTGTTGATCTCTGTGTTGATCTGTGTGTTGGGTGTGTTGGGTGTGTGTGTGAGGGGGGGTATATATATATCCAACGTACCCGGTCGTCTCAGCATCAGATGCCTCCCCGCGCACCTTCTGTGTGTACGCCTCCAATCTCTCCACAAACGGCAGCACTAGCCATAGATACCAAACCACTAGCTCACCTACTTCCCGGGGTAGATACCGATGAATAACCTTCACGTCGTTCGTACTATAAAACCCTTTGTGGTACTGCGTAACAAACGCTACCAGACCATCTTCGACAAACACATTCCGGTGGCCTCCGCTGTCAGTATTGTAGTGCCGAATGCTTAACAGCTCTGGCGCCCGTGCAGGCTGGCCTCCGCTGACGTGGACAGCAATGGCTAGCTTCTCGCGGAAATGGGCTACCCGTTGAAGATAAACGTCGATAGCGGACATTCGGAGCCGGCCGGCACTAGACTCGATAAAACGCTGCTGGAGTGGTCTCTCGTTTCGGACCCGATTCACCATCCATTCGCTACCGGCTACAGGCCATACCGTACGGGTGTCTTTTAAAAAGCTCCACCCGTGCGCGGTCTCGGTAGGATCATCAAACATAGCCTGCCACGGGATCGAGGGAACTGAGCTAGCCTGACTAAACAGGAGCTCTTCGTGTAGTATCTGGCGTGTGGAGCTTACGAGGCCGTGGGTAAAGCCGCGGAAGTCACCCATAGTGAAACTGTACTGTTGATATAACAGCTGGTCTTGGTTCATCCAGCCAACATGGCCTGTGGCGGTGCTGTTATAATGGATCTTTAAGCCGTACGTGCGTAGATCTAACAGCCACTGCATTGGACTGTTGGTGCCGCGGACCATAAACTGGCTGACCATCTCGGTCACCCACTCCCGGAATGATCGTTGGCGGTGGCCCTGTGTGTGGCCCTGGCTAAACTGAATAAAGTGCGATGACTGTGCTGCCCCCTGATCTCCATCGTTATCGTTGTAAAACGAATCGTCCGTTGTTTGCGTTAAAAACGTGAAATCAGGCGAATCTAACGGACTCTCTGTATCCCATTCGCCAGCCATCTGATACGTAGCTAGTTGGTGGATCATCTTCTCGGCCGTTGGGTCTAGCTTTAATGCTTTGTGGACCACCATAAACCGAGCAATCTTGATCACTTTGGACAATATTGGGGGATAGCTCTGGGCAGTACCCCAGCCTGCCTCCCCACGTCCAAGCACCGCGCTAGCGCAGATAAGCGCGCTCTCATAGTCCTCGACCTTAGTTCGGTGGTTCAATAGCTCAATGCAAAAATCTAGACAGGCGGAGTCAAGGGGAGTGAGCTGAAAGGGGGATTCGCTAGTGATTTGGTGCTGTTGGTCCTCGGAATCACTTCCTGAATGCATACTGCTTTGGTCCGAACTGCTCAGGTCTTCACTGCTCTGGCCGGCGTTTGAATGCCCTGTGTTGGAATGCCCTGTGTTGGCCTGCCCGGCGTTGGAATGGCCTGCCATGTACTGGCCTGTGTTGGAAAGGCTTGTGTTGGAAAGGCCTGTGTTGGAATGGCCTGCCCTGCCCTGGCCTACGATGGGTGAGGCACTAAGCTCTGCCTGCGCTAGTCTCCATAATGTGGCCCATGCCGCTCGCTGGCGTTTGGAAAACCTGTAGTGGGGGCTAGCCCAATCATGTGGGGCCTGCGTGCGCGTGAAAAACATGAGAATCTGCTGCCACGGGACCGTGTGTCGCTTAACGGCTTCACCATCCATATATGCTTGTAGTGGTTGATGGGGTAGGCGATCCCGCTCAGTCCGAACAGCCTCGCACCGAATGGTGTGACTCGTTTTAGTGCAGATCAACTGGCTGATGCGAGCTACAGAGGCCATTGAATTCCAAATTGTATATGCAGCTTGCTCGGCCTGATCGAGTGATTCGGGATCGGGGGCTCGGACACAGTCCACTAGGTCGTGCGGGTTGATCCCCTGGAGATAGACGGCCCACTGGGTCCTCCGAAGCCATGGATTCGTCTCGTCTCGCTGGCTGGCCACGATCACCTGGGGGAGCTCATCTCTTTCGGCATATGCTCTTTCCATCTGATCAATCACCTGACTATTATGATCAGATATTGCTAGCGAATCGGCCTCGGGAATAGCCTCGGCTCCAAGGGTTTGAACGCGGATATAATAGGACCCTTGCCCCTGGTTAAACGCGCGTTGGCATCGGACGGTACGAGTGAACTGCTGGATTTGTTGCTCCGCAGCCGATGAAGTATGCTGCCGCCGACGACCGCCCCGGTTGATAGGAGCTACCCAGCTGTGATGATCACGCCAGTGAACACGCATAGTGCCAATTGACCGGGCAACAAACTGGCACATCGGGCCTTGCTCACATAAAATACCATCTGAGTAAACAGGTAGGTTTGGAACAGGTTCGTTAACCACTAATGGTGGCTGCCATTCATCACATTCCGCCGCACGCTCCCACTGTTGAACTGCCTCGGCAATTTGGCGAGCTTTCGGCTTCGGCATCCGATGATTCGCGGATTGAAGGTGGCGGAAAACCTCTTTTGGTCGAATAACATGTTCACATAGCTTGCATACAATCACGGGCGTGGTTGATGGCTGGTGAAAAAGCTGATGTTCCATTGTGGTAGTGGGGGTAAGTAATGATAGAAAACAGTGAAGGATAACTAAGATAAAAGTGAGAGGAAAAGCAGAGTAGAAAGGGCGAGCAGGTTAGTGTGAGAAGAATTTTAATATAGGCCGGGCATCGTTTCAGCCCCCGTTACCCCGCCTGCACACACTATATATAGAAAACGATGATCGACATGGTGCATTTCGGCCCGGGCCTTAGATTGACAGGTCAACCACTGATTCCCTACATATGCAGGGCTGCCATTAGCCAAACAGGCAGGGCACTCAGCTCAGCCCAGGGTATTGATTGGCCACCAGGCATGGCAGTCATCCCATTTCAGTCCATTCCCAGCCCAGGCAGGCTCAGCAGCCCATTGGCCAGCCAGGCAGGGCATTCACTGCCCACACAGGCTCAACACGCCATTGGCCGGCCGGGTAGGGCATTGATTGGCCAGCCAGGAAGGGCGCTCAGCCTAATATGGTTTGAATAGCTGAATAACATGAATATGGTGAGTAATATGAATGTGGTGAGCAACATGAATGGCATATATGGTTTGAATAGCTGAATAACATGAATAGAGTGAGTAAGACGAATAGCTAAGCAACATGAATGGCTGAGCAACATGAATGGCTGAGCAACATGAATGGCTGAGCAACATGAATGGCTGAATACCGTGAATATGGTGAATAACATGAATATGGTAAGCAACACGAATAGCTGAGCAACATGAATGGGTGAATACCATGAATGTGGTAAGCAACACGAATAGCTAAGCAACATGAATAGCTGAATAACATGAATATGGTGAGCAATATGAATGTGGTGAGCAACATGAATGGCATATATGTTGGGAATGGCTGAATAACATGAATATAGTGAGTAAGACGAATAGCTAAGCAACATGAATGGCTGAATAACGTGAATGGCATATGGTGGGAATGGCTGAATACCGTGAATAAGCTAAGCAACACGAATAGCTGAGCAACATGAATAAGTGAATACCGTGAATGTGGTAAGCAACATGAATGGCTGAATAACGTGAATGTGGTGAATAACATGAATGTGGTGAATAACATGAATGTGGTGAATAACATGAATGTGGTGAATAACATGAATATGGTGAATAACATAAATATGGTGAGCAGCATAAATGCCATATATAGTGTGAATAACATGAATGTGGTGAAAAAAATCAATGGCTAAATCCTATGAATGGCATATATAGTGTGAATAATATGGATGGTTTGAAAGATATACGATAGGAATGGAGAGTGGTGTGGGCTGTATGTAGTGCCAAGCCTTTCTTACTCCCTACCAAAACATCTCCCGTTTTTGATCACCCTCCACCCCACATATATATGCTCATATAGTCTAAAAATTGACCGAGATAAATAAGACACTCTATATTATGATCTCTGAAATTTTTAGATCTATGAGATGTCTGTAGCCCTCAGCAGTGGGGGTGCGAAGTTTACCTGAAGTCAGGATGCGACCCGCTTATCTTATCGCAGTGACCGAGTGGCTGCCTCAGGCCCCGGTCGCACCTCCAGATTCCCGCACCCCATCAAAACATCTCGAAAAACCCGGCATTTTCAATCACCATTTCCTCGACAACCAGAGGGCTGTGCAAGCTCCGGAGCAAATGGGGGCAAATTCATATATGCCATTTTAACTTCCCAAATTTTCAGAGCGATCCGAGACCTCTAGACCAAAGGAGTCTGGCGACGAAAAGAACCTGAAGTCTGGCGTACGACCCACTTTTCCTCCCATAGTAAAGGGAAAACCCTAACCTGGAGTCTGCCAGACTCCAGGTACCCCCGTGGGATAGGACCATGATCGTTGACTTAGGACTCGATAAAACGCTCTGGCCATTTGCTCACCAAGCTGCTATTTACATTGTGAACCGTCTTGCAAACAGCGAGACCGGTAAATCACCAATCACCCTCTGGCGTGAGCTTCTTCACATTCAAAATACCAAGCCAACTCTTAAGCATCTACGGCCATAGGGATCCACTGCCTATGTGCACATTCCGAAAGATAAGCGAGTGCAATCTCGGAAGGCCGCACCCCGCGCCTAGAAGGGCTACCTTATCGGCTATAAGGGGGATGGCGGTCATGTTTACCAGATCTGGGATCCCGTGAACCAGGAGATGAAGAGATCTCGTGATGTTACTTTCCACAAACCTAGTGACGAGCATGACGACGGTGAAACAGGGGCTATAACACTTCCCCCTGGCCCTCCGAAGGCTCCCAACAATCCTGGAAATACAGGAATTTATCAAACTTCATTCATTGGCTCGGGCGAGCAAGCAAAACCACAGTCAACAATTCAGCAAGACCGACCACAGGTCCGAGAAGCTACTCCGGCACAGCCTTCACAGACCATTCTGCCAGACAGCATCTCCAGTTACAAGACGACTCCCGGGATCATTCCCCGAAGAGAGATTCGACAAATTGAACAAGCACCGTCTTTGCACATACCCTCGAGCACACACCTATTCGACAGGTCCACAGCTGCTTCTCGTCCCCGGACTCGACCCACTTTGTTACGTGCGCATGCACCTTTGCAGAGAATTACCGAGGAGGTTATTCAACCTCAGCGGATGCGCGCTACAGAAGAAAGTAGCGACGAGCAACGAAGAGCTATACTGAATAAACGCCTAAATCGACTACAGGAAGATATCGAGACCATGAGCAATAAATGGCAGGATATACGCCAAGAAACTGAGCGCATTGAGGAAAGGATTTCAAACAGATCTACATCTATTAAACCTACTCCTACCCCTGCTGTTGCTACTGCTCCTGCCTTACACCACACGCCAGATAGGCCTCGCTCTCCTCAGGAATACCGATTTCCATTCCCTTCACTAGATCAGTTACGCCTTTACAGGGAAGAGAGTGAGCAAGTGAGCGAGCAGACAGATCAGCGAGCGAATCAGCAGACGGTGATCTAGATGTCTATTAAGAAAGACCCATCTCTAGTGCCACCTCCAGTGCCAGCGCCAGTCTCACCATCATCATCATCGCATAATCAAGTTGCTTCTGTTACCAAAGAAGTTATCTCAGTCAGTTCTACACCAGATCCAACCCTCCCACCCCCTTCACGACGAGTATCACATCGCCGAACCAAGGGATGCCCTCCGGAGCGGTACTCCGACCCGAATCGACCCCTCCTTTCCGTCGAGCGTGTATCGATTACCAGAATGCAGAAGAAGCGACCACGACTCGATCGTCACGAGAAAACAAGTGCGGAGGAAGGTGGTAACAACGGGGAGGAGGGTGTTGGACAGAGATCTGCGGGATCTGTTGATGATGCTGAAACCGCGCCTGCTTCCTCGAGAACTGATTCCGAGGGACCAGCAGCCCTCGCTGTCACTGCTCCTGTCAAACCAATCATTATATTCAATAATAAGCCCCTTTATAGAAAGGATGTTATTATTCCCACCACATACAAACAAGCACAGAAATCCCCTCACTAGGAATTCTAGCACGCTGCTATGGCTCAACAAATCGAGGATCTGAATACACAAAAGACATACACTCTGGTACTCAAACCAAAACGTGCGAGCGTTCTACCTGGTAAGTGGGTGTACACTGTGAAAACAAACACCTACGGATTTGTTAATACCTTTAAAGCACGCTGGGTTGTGTGTGGAAATTTCCAGCAAAAGAAAGATGACCGGGAAGATTGCTATGCCCCTATGGTCTCCGAAGCACTGATCAAGATCGTGCTAAGCCTTATTGCTATCTACAATCTGAAATGGAGGCAGGTTGACTTCACTGCAGCATATTTGAATGCTTCCCGTGCTCATAGAGAGGTTGTGTATATGCAGCAGCCCTCTGGTTTCGAATATCATAACGACGAAGGAGGGATCAAGTCCTGGGTGTGCTCCCTAGACCAAGCTTTGTATGGTCTTAGGGATTCTGCATTCTTATGGAACGAAGAGCTAGACAAGACCCTTTGTGGTATAGGGTTCCAACCAATGGAAGATGACCCCTATGTTTACAAGAAAGGTGTCGGAGCAAAGATGACCATTCTAATGCTTCATGTTGATGATTTCATTATTGCTGCTCCTTCTAATGAAGAGATTAACGCCGTGATCGCTCAACTAAGCAAGCATTACCCCCTGAAAGACCTCGGTGAACCGAAACAGTACCTTGGCTGCTTGCTGGAGCGAGACTACGACGCCGGGACTATTCGGATGTCCCAGAAAGCCTATGTCCAAAAGATCCTGCACAAAGCAGACATGTTGCACTACAAAGGAAGGAGTATCCCATTACCGGTAACATGGAACTGGTCCGAAGGCCATAAGGATGCAACGTCGACCCTCGAAGATAATGACGACTACTTATCAGTTGTGGGAAGTCTGAACTGGTTGGTAATACGTACGCGCCCCGATATCAGGTTCTATGTTACAAAGCTACAACACAAATCTGCGAATACCACTATTCACGACCAAGAAGCCATGGTGCAGGTCCTTCGTTACCTCCGAGAGCATCCAGATCGTGCGATCACACTCGGAAAGAAGAAGGAGTTACAGTTCTATGCCTATGCCGACGCTTCACACGGAGATAATCTGAACTATAAGTCAACTGAGGGCGCAGTCTGGCTCTTTGGAGGTAGTCCAATCCAATGGTCAACCAGGAAACAGACTATTATGGCGCCGTCAACCACGGCCGCCGAATGGTGCGCACTTGATTAGCCTGCACGGGACGGCATGTGGCTTCGCAAACTTGCTATAGCCTTTAGTTTTCCTAGAGCAAGCGATCCGTTGGTGATCTACACAGATAACATCAACACTCAGCTACTCTTAAACAAGAAGACTGGTCGCAACTCGACAAGATGGCTTAACATGCGATATTTCTTTGTGAAAGATGCTGCTGCCAAGGGCTACATTGACCTCGAAAGGGTTGAGAGCAAGGCTAACGTGGCGGATGGTTTCACGAAGCCACTCGGAGAAGAAGCGTTCCCCGGATTTATCACACAGCTAGGGATGTGAGAACAGGGTGGAGCGAAAGGGAAGAAATGAAGTGGACAACATGATAGGATTTCCATTCTGAATAGAGCCCTCCTATTGGTTGAAAACCCACAGGATTTCAGAGTGCATTTGTTATTGAATTGAAAAGAAGATCGCTTGTTTTGCCTGGTCAACTGTGGAGGATGCGGAGGCATGAGAGCCTATGAGGGGGATGTTGGGGATGTCAGGTGACATCCCACATTGGGATAGTCTCCCATGGAGTAGATAGATAGATATCTCTCGCTCTCTCTCTCTCTCTCTCTCTCTCCTTCTCTCCTCCGTCCGCAATACAATATTCAATATCTTCATATTCCATTGCCCCTTGTATGATCTCCATGAAAAAACCCGGCATTTTCAATCACCATTTTCTCAACAACCAGAGGGCCATGCAAGCTCCGATGCAAATCGGAGCAGTGCCAGATACACTATTTTAACTTCCCAAATTTTCAGAGCGATCCGAGTCCTCTAGATTAGCGCATTCGGGGTGAGAAGTTAACCTGCATTCAGGGTATGGACCCACTTTTTCCTCCCATAGTAAAGGAAAACCCTAACCTGCATTCAGGGGTGAATGCACACCCTCCCGTGGGATAGAGAGAGAGAGCGAGAGATATCTATCTATCTACTCCATGGGAGACTATCCCAATGTGGAATGTCACCTGACATCCCCAACAAAAGGTGAAGCTCAAATTGTCATCGCTCTGAATATACAGCTTATCCTAACTGTCTGTGCATCGTAGTAGTTTTTCGTGTCAAGATGGGATGGGGCTCAGGAGACCGCAGGAAACGGAGACATGGAAACCATGAACCCGCGGGTGTTTATTGGAAGCCTCCATCAATCAACACCAATATCAGAGACACTTTCCTCGCTCCCTGAAGAGTATTTGGCTGCGCCTGGGAACTGTATTCGAGATTCCAGGAGCAAAAAGCTCCTAGAGTCGACTTACACGATCTTGGAGCCGGTAGAGCTAACACGCAGATCTCACGTGAACAGCATGTGAACCGTATGCAGGAGATGAATAGTACATGCAGGAGATCAATAGTACATGCAGGAGATCAATAGTACATGTGGGTGAACGCATTGCATGAGAACACTCACCTATTAGAGCCTCACCGCTTGTAGATCAGGCACTTCCAAGACCATGAACTGACAATTTAGATCAAATCTAGAGGTTCCAGACCAGCCTTCAGGCCACTGTCAGCCCCCTTGGTGTGGCTTGATGAAGAATGTATGCAATATTTGCCCGGTTACAGCGAACCAAACCCATTTGGAGATATGCGATAGCTATTCTCAAACCCCTTGCATTTGCTCTATGGTATCATGTATACTGTAGAGATCGGAGGAATGGATGCATTGTAACATCAATAATAGACAGTAAGAGAAAGAGCATACAGTATGTGTTTCTCTTCAGCAAAACATGAGCACGTGCAGAGGATCGTACAGTATGTGATATCGATTGCCTGCATTCAAAAGGAGCGAAGGTTTGTTTATATTCATCTGAATGCCACCTTGGTCCAGAGCATTTTTCGCATAGGATATTATTACGCACCCACACACATCACGAAACGAACAGAAGATGGTAAACCAACATCCCAATGGAGGAAGTAACCTCCCCACTGAGAAATGCCTCTTCCCAATCCGCAACGACGGCAACACCTCGGTCGACAAGGATGAGACACACTGGGGGCGGACAAAACTATGCACCTGCACCTTGGAAGCAGCTGGAATCCTTCCATCCTCGTCCTGCGCTCCCTCGTGTCCGAACCAGGATCAGGAGCTCACCCCGAGCTTGAAAGCGGAGCAGAAGGATCCCATCTGCTTTCTAGCTACCGTGTGGGCTCTGATCCTGTGGGAATATGCCGAAGTCGACACAGTCCAGATCGGTGTGCATCAGACCACTGGCCCCCTCACAGCTAGGAGCGCAGAGAAGCAACACATGAAACTGTTCGCGTCTGCGCGAAGTCGTATGGGGGCGGCCTCTGATTTATTCCACATCGAGGGATGGTCGGTTTCCAACGTGAACCTGAGTCACTATCCATATTTCAATACAGGGGTTGCCCTCAGTCACGGCCAAGATGAGGAGGCAGTGAATGATAGTGGCGAGAACAAGGTAGCAGAACAATTTGTTGCCCGCAAATCGCACCAAATAGATGAAGAAGGAACAGAAGAAGAGGTAGAACAAGAGGTAGGTCTCATTTGCGCAACATATCTCTGTTTTAGAACAAAAAACATAGCTAACCCTTCTCGTGTGTAGCAATGTGCTATAACGCTGGCTCTTGATCTAGAGAAATCCGAATGGTTTCTCATGTACAAAACAGGAGTCCTGTCGAGTGGACAGGCGGACCATATGGCACCCTTTCTGGCTGAAGCGGTGATGACAGTGGCGACAAAGGCGAATACGAAAAGCATTTCTCAATTGGCTATCACCAGCAATGCGCAGCTGAACACGATCAAGGAATGGAATAGCCAAGTATTGATCCAGCCACCGTTTCCTACCATTCACCAAATTATCCACAATCTCTCCAAGGCGCAGGCCGACCATCCCGCTTTAGTGGCATCAGATGGCACACTGACATACGCCGAACTGGATGCAATTTCATCACGATTAGCACGGCATCTCCAGAGAACAGGAGTCCAGCCAGGTACATTTATCCCTGTGTGCTTCAACAAAACCTTATGGGCCGTGGTGGCCATGCTTGCTGTCAACAAAGCCGGGGCAGCATTTGTGACATTAGACGCCTCACAACCCTTGACTCGCCTGAGATCAATAGTGAAGCAACTCAATGGCCCTCCCTTGGGACTCACCTCGCCCGAGAATCAAGCGCTGATGGATAAGGTTATTACACCCACCTTAGCAGTGAATGCTCTAATCATACTCAAGCTCCCAAAGGATGAGCACGATAAGGCGGGCGAGAGCGACTGGCCAATCGATGCAACAGCGCCGTCATATTGTTTCTTCACGTCTGGTAGTACGGGCGAACCGAAGGGATGTCTTGTGGATCACGCCGCGCTGTCGAGCGTGGCAACCCACTGCAAGGCCCTGCACCTGGACTCCGCGAGCAGGGTGCTGCAGTTTGCGTCGTTTAGTTTTGGAGTTTCTTTGATTGAAATCTGGTGCACGCTCGCTGCGGGTGGGACAGTGTGTATGCCCTCGGATTCCGACAGAGTGAGCCGTCTGGCGGATGCCATCGAGGCAATGGCCATCAATTGGGCCTTTGTGACTCCCACTGTTTTGGGGACCATCGGTCCAGACGCAGTTCCCGGTCTGCGATGCATCTTGGTCGCCGGCGAGCCGCTGAAGAAAGCCCAGATCTCGCTATGGGCCAAGCGCACGCGGCTGTTCCAGGCCTATGGATTTACCGAATGGGCCGGGGTCTGTTGCGTATCGCCGCAGATTCAGTCTATCGCAGATATTGGCATCATTGGAGTCCCCGCCAATGCCCGTTGCTGGTTAATTGAGCCGGGCAATCCGCAGAGACTCGCCCAAATCGGTGCGGTGGCGGAACTGTTCGTCGAAGGACCCAGTCTCGCCCAGGGATATTTGCACAGTCCAGATAAGACGGCTCTGAGCTTCCTGGAGGCACCTACCTGGAGGCGACAGGGACCGCTAGGAGGAGAGAGGAAACTGTGCGATGTGGCAGGAAGTGTCCGCTGCTACAAGACCGGGGATCTGGCCTACTACGATTCCAACGGTCTGCTCAGATATGTCAGTCGGCAGGATCGACAGGTCAAGGTCCGTGGGCAACGTATTGACCTGGGGGAGCCTGAGTTTCATATGACTCAGTCATCGACTCTTTTCCGAAAGGCGGTGATTGATGCTATTGTGCCTGTTGATGGGGACGGGGTTGCCAGCCTCGTTGCTTTCGTGCCAGCGCCCTCCTTACCCACACCTCCAACCACATCTGGCATCGGCAACACCTTTTTTGCCATGCCAGACCAAGAATTCGTGAACACAGTTCAGCAGGTGATCAAGATCCTAGAGGAAGAATTGCCGGATGTCATGGTTCCGCGCCTATTTTTGCAAATCCAGTCCATGCCGCTGACTGTCACGGGCAAGATTGATCGACGACGACTTCGACAGGAGGCAGAGCAACTGCGACATGAGGAGTTGCTGAGATGGACCGGCGTGGATATCGCTGCCTCAGAGCCCCCGCAGACATCTCATGAAGTCTTCATCCACCAGCTCATCACCGAGCTGCTCAATCTGCCTCCGGCACAAGTCGGCATGGAGCATGATTTCTTCGCCCTCGGGGGAGACTCGGTGACGGCGATGAAGCTAGCCGGTCGGGCCAGAGCCGCTGGCGTTGAGCTAACGGCGACGCATATCTTTGCGGCTTCCCGTTTGGGTGATTTAGCCCGTATAGTCGCTGAGTTGGGTCATACCTCGTCAGATGAAATTGACTCCAACGAGCCCTTCTTGTTGCTTGATGCCCACTCTAAGCCAGTACTGATCTCCACCGCTGCCTCTGTGTGCGGGGTGGAAAAAGGCCAGATTGAGGATATCTATCCCTGCACGCCGCTCCAAGAAGGTATGCTGGCCTTGTCTGCATCCAAGCCTGGGGCATATATAGCACGGTTTATCCACAGGTTGCAGCCGCATGTTGACATTGCTCGCTTGCGCCGTGCGTGGGAGGCGGTCGTCCAGGCTAGCCCAATCCTGCGTACGAGAATTGTGACTGAACTGGACGGCAGTAGGATGTTCCAGGTCGTTCTGCGGGAGAGCTTCCAATGGGACGATGCGAACCCGGATGTGGAGGTAGACTGGGACATGTACATGAAGCGGCGAACAACGGACGCCCTCTTGGTTGGGGCCCCTCTGGTGCATGCCGCAATCCTCGCTGGGTCAGAGTCCTCCTCCTTCAAGAGCGATCCGTCGGCGATGTACTTTGTGGCGATGATGCATCATTCCATCTGTGACCGTTGGGCCTCCGGGCTGATGATGGATCTGGTGGAGAAAGCCTACACTGGCGAGTGTCTCGTGCCC